CTCACCAGCATTATCCCCGGGCTGCCAGGCACGACCCTCGAGTCATGAGGAAGCTGGAAGAAACTATGCACCGTTTGGCGGACGAGAATGAGGCTCGAGAGCAGGTGTTCTCAGCAAACACCCAGCACACCCAACATTCTCCAATACACTGGATGTAGCTGTTTGGAGAACGAATGGCGGAGCCTGAAAGAGGCAGGCGGCCTGTCCACACTCGGATAGGCGGGACGCCACCCTCCCAGGACATGGGGGGCACACTGGAGCAAACACTTCCCGATTCGAGAGACACAATGAATTGCGTGCTCACACGTCGAACGTCCCTCACGGACACCATGGCGGGGAGCTGACCCCCGTAGCAAGCAACATTGGGCAGCGCTTCCAGAGAAAAGGTGTCCATATACAAACGTCATCCTCACGAAAGACGCGCGCATTGTGGAAATTGACAGGCGTGTTGAGAACAGTCTGGCACCGCCCCGTGACTCCCTGACATCACCTTTCACCCCAAGGCTCATGACTGCGAAAATCCCACAGGACTGCAGGCTGTAGGGCAACTTGGTGTAAAATGGAACCGGGGACCCCATGGCTCATTTGATCAGCTTCCACGGGAATCTGTCCATGCTCGGGGCTTCAGATGAAGCCATTTGCAGACTCTTTTTCAGCACCTGTCGTGCACTTTGTCGTGTATGCACTCAAAATAATAATCAATACGACACCAATACGTAGTATAGTGTAGTAAGGTTCGTATCCACAGGGAAAAGAACACTTCTCTTTTTATAAAAACTAGAAATAAGTAACAAGGGGGGTTTTATGATTGGTTGATGAACTTAAATTATATTTAAGCACGAAGATAAACGACTTATGTGATTTAATTAATGAGAAGGAGACTTGGTTTTGCTTTTATCCACTTAATGAAATGTTCGTCGATCCCAGTTATATCTTTAACTATCTTCCTCTCGAATACTCAATCAAGGAGTATATCCAATTCATCAAGGGTAGTTATTAACAAGCGGTTTATTGGTTTAATCAATATAATTAATTCCCCTTAGATTATTAACCATGAGACACATGCATCAATAATCCAAGTTTACTACCGTGAAATGACCGAATTAATAACAAGCGTATTAATCGACCAATTCTAGTATTAATTAATATACGAAACAAAACTAGTTGATCCTTTAAGTAATGAGATAGACTCGTTCCGTTCCTATCTTTCACCCATATTTTGGGTGTTGATTGTCTATTTTTTATTTATTTATCGGGTGACTATTGGGGGTTTTGAGTGAAAATTTGCTATTTTTCGGTCCCGGTGGCATTCATATTCAGTGTAGTATATTTGTACACAATTTGACATTCTTTGAGTAATTTGATTGTAAAGTTACATATTATTAGCGAGTGTGGTGAGTTGTTATTGTATAGGCCGAGTTTGCGGTGAATATGTTTGGACCGGATCATTTAAGGACTATTTTTGAAGTTAAGTGCAATTCAAGAAAAAAAAAGGCACAACAGTAAAAAAAAAAAGGGAGCAGCAGATTAGATCCATCTCTATCAGCCCAAAAAGAAGAAGACCATGAGCTCAGCCAGGGTTTATCCTGGAACATTCAGGCCGCACCAAGTTCATCCATTTTTTTCTTGCTATTCGAAGCACAAAAACATGTAGCCGCAGGGGATTTCATTCTTTTCTGTTCATTCACACTTAGCCGCAATTCAGTTTATTCATTGGAAGCACAAAATCATTAGCCGCAACAGAGTATTTTCCTTCTCCTATGCAATTAGCCGCTGAATTCAAGTGAGACAACAGTAGATTTTTTTTCTCTTTTGCCGCAGCAGCAACCATAAACCAGGGAGCTTCATTTTTCTTTGGGAAAACTGTCAAATAGGTCCTCGAACTTTCATAAAAAAGTCAATTAAGTCCTTCTATAGGAGACTCTGTCCGGTCGTCGCGATTTGGGGCGGTACCCCGGTGGAATTTTTTGATGAAATTTTTTGAGCATCTTATTCATCAAATCTAGTTTACTCATACCAAATTTCAGCTAAAAATTTAAATGGGAGCGCATTCAAATTAATTCGAGAACGCAAAAATGCGCAGTTATCTTCTAGAATTTATTTGAATGTGTTCCCGATTGATTTTTTAGCTGAAATTTGGTATGAGTAAACTAGACTTGGTGAATAAGATGCTCAAAAAATTTCATCAAAAAATTCCACCGGGAACTGCCCCAAATCGCGACGGCCGGGCAAAACCTCCTATAGAAGGACTTAATTGACCTTTTAATGAAAGTTCGAGGACCTATTTGACAGTTTTCCCTTTTTCTTTCAATTTCTTCCATTCTAGTTTAGATTTCATTTACGGTATTAGTTGTTTTTTTTAGACTGAAATTCATGTTTTGTTCTTCTCCAGTTAATAACTTTCGAATTTCCCATTTAATTAAGTCATTCTTTTCTTTCTATTTTAATCAATTATTTATCTAGATTCTCATCATGTTTATCAATGCTAAAGTCATGTTAATTTTAAGTATGAGTAACTAATTCTGTATAAGGTTTGAATTGGGGCTAGGGTTCATGGGTTCTTGAAGGTGTGAATTTAGTTTTTTGAAATTCAATTAATTTTCTGGAAAATTGTATAAGATTAATTATAATTGTCTATATGAATTTGATCACCTCATATATGAATTTTTGGATTTAATTCAATTCTTGTCTATGAGAAATTGAGTTAAATTAGCTCAGGTCTTATACAAGCAATCTTACCTTAGAAATAAGTTAGGATTGTGAATTATTGATTTAATTCTTGTCAATGAGAATTTATTTCATTTTCTTTCCAGGAATAATTGAAAATTAATTTACTTAATTCCAATCCCGAAAGAACACCCAGAACCCGAACCATCCAATTTGAACCCTACTTTAATATCTAGAATCAATTTAATTATTATTTTTTCTCTCTATTTATTTTTGCACTCGCTATTAGTTAGTTTTTTTTCTAAACCACCCAAAACAATTTATTCGGAAAGATTACGATGACTTGTGCTAGCCTGTGATCACGAACTGTATTTAGAACTTCCTTTTTGCCACTCCTTGAGAGACGACACTCGTGATCTGGTTATTCTTCGGATTAGCCAACTACGTTTTACTCACTAAAAAAATACACCGATCATAATGCTCAAAATATTAATATGAAATAAGAATAGGAATTAATTAATATTCAAGGAAGAAGATTAAAGAAAATAACTCACAATTTACAATTCATTAAGCTTCAAAGTAGCAAAAACCAAGATGAAAGAGTTTAACTCCTCATTTGGAGACTAAGGATGTTTTTACTTGGACTGTAATTTGCTGGTCTGGTCTGATCTGGTCTGTCTGGTCTGGTCTGAACTGGTCTGGTCTGGTCTGGTAAGGTCTGGCTTCTTTGTATTTTTATAACTATCCAAGTCTGGTCTGGTCTGGTCTGAACTGGTCTGGTCTGGACTGGTCTGGTCTGGGACAAATTACAGTCCAAGTAAAAACATCCTAAACATGAAGAAAATATAAAGAAATAACTTGTCTAAACTGAGCTTAGAAGTATATGTGAATTGGTTCTTTTCTGGTGGAGGAAATGAGGTGTATTTATAGGCTTTTTAGGCTTGCAGGGTCGTGTACCCGATCGGGTATATAGGGTACTCGACCGGGCCTTCAGTTGCTTCGCGGAAGCTGGAAAAACATGGACATACCCGACCGGGTATGTCGGCTACCCGATCGGGTATAGACACTCGATCGTGGTTAAAATCTTCCCTGCACGTTGCCTTGTTCGCGGGTTGATCCGATTTGATTTCTCAACAACTTACCCGATCGGGTATAGGTCATACTCGACCGGGTACAACACCAAAAATCAGGATCTTCATTTTGTCTTGGAATTTTTGCACCTTCCTTCCACTTGTGATGTTCACCAGTGGTCCCTAGAGTGATCTTAAACCTATTTGAGCTCAGAATAAACCTAATCTAAACAAATTACAAACATTTTTACAAACTAAACTATTACACCAAAAGTGTGTAATTTCCAAAGTAACAATCAATCCAAACTAATTAAAAACACAAACATAAACATGGAAATTACATGAATGTCAGCACCATAGGGGGACCAGCCCAAGAGTGGTTCGGGCAGCTGAGGCCTTGAACCATAGATAATTATAAACAGCTCTCCTAGCAGTTCATGGCACAGTTCGCAGCAAGCTTCACCCCAAAGAAGCATTTCACCTCGCTCACGAACGTCCGCCAGAGGAAAGACGGGTCCTTGTCCAAGTTCTTGGTCCGGTGGAGAGACGAGGATTTGAAGGCCAATGTCCTAGACAAGAGCATGGGTACCAGAGACCTTTACCGGGATCTGAGGAGGAACCCTGGGACGATCTATACCGAAGTCCTTGCACGAGCACAAAGGTATGCTGCAATTGAAGAAGAGATCAAACAAAGAGATGAGGCACCAACCGCTCCGGTCTGAAAGATGTTGGACCGGCTGGGCCAGGACCCGGGAATTCCCCCGCAACAAAGAAGAAGAAGAAGGATAACAGCCTTATCCCATGGGCAGCACAGGCCCAGGGTGGTCACGAACGCCCTCATAATTGGGGGCTCATTCCCCTTGCTGCAAGGGGTGTAAATGAGCCAAGCCGCTCGCGAGCTGCTCGTGGATCGCTCGGGAAAAGCTCGACTCGAGTTTGGTCATATTAAGCTCGACTCGTGTTCGGCTCGACTCAAATAGTTAACAAGCTCAATTCAAGCTTATTTATTTTAGGCTCGTGACTCGCGAGCCGGTTCGCGAGCCTCTGTGTCATATTTTATATATAATAAATATATATGTAATAATTATATATATATATATATATATATATATATATACTTTTTTAAAATATGTATTCTAATTTAGGACTATTCCATTTTCAATACTTATCACATAGTGTATTATAATAGTAATAATTACAGAAATAATAACATGTGCATAGTATTATTTTTATAACTATAATCTGTAATAATTATAATATGTACTCTTAATATTTATTGACAGTACAATAAAGAATAAAAATGTAAGTAAATGAGAGATAAACTAAAAATGAGAATGAATAAGTACACATGTAATATTTTTAGCTCGAGTTCGAGCATCTTATTCGAGTTCAAACCTATAAAACTTAATTAGCGAAACTTGACCCGAGCTCGAACCAAGCTCGAACCAAGCTCGAATGGAGCTCGAGCCGAGCTCGGCTCGAGATCGAGCTCGAATTATTTAACTCGTCCAAGCTTGAGATCGAGCTCGAGCTCGTGAATTCTTATCAAGCTCAAGCATACCCATGCTCGGCTCGACTCGTTTACACCCCTGGCCTTGCATATCCACTTAGCCAGATTTTTGAGGCTATCAAGCACAAGGGCCTCCTCGCGGAACCTCTGGACTCCAAGGCCACAATGGGGAAAGACGTGACCTCTTACTTCAAATACCATCGGAGGACGGGCCACCATACGGATAACTGCCATCAACTCAAAATGGCGATAGACGAGCTGATCCGATAAGGATACCTCAGAGAATTTACAAAGAGCTCGTCGCAACACAACCAGAAAGAGCCATACAAGAAGCCGGGTACATGGCGCCTCGATGACCGGCGAGAGGCCGAACCTGAGGACGTTGATTATTGCAGTGCAGATAAATGTCCGGAGGGGTCCCTCGGACCGAACGGCACCCTCCTGAACCACCGTCGTTCCAGAAAGATGACATCATATGGAGTGCTTTCTTTCTGGTGGCGGGTGAAACCGGAACAAATTCTACGCTCGCGCGGCTCCTTACCGATGGCTGGGCAAACCGGGATGTTCAATAATTTGTTTGAGAAATATTGTGATTGTAGCAAGAGAAGTCAGTCTGCAGGTAAAGTCTACTTCTTTGAGGGATGAGCGATTCAGTGTTTTCAATTTGAATCTTCTGTTTCTATGTCATATCCCATTATAGTCTTGAGCTATATGATTGTAATTGTCTTTGTTATCTTTTGTTATCTTTATCAATACTAATTAAGTTATTTTCTTTCAAAAAAAATTAACTAATGAATTATTGTTTGAACTAATGATCCGTTGCGGGGAACGATTAGAAATATGAGGCATTGTGACGCCCCAAGTTCAAATCCATAGGCTCATTAAAACAAAATGCGATAGTTGAGAAATTCACATCTCATTTGAATTTGAAGTAGAGTACGAGTAATTATAAATTTATAACATTACACAAGCATTCAAGTTTTGAAAACTGACTTTGAGAATTGATATGGATGGTGTTACCGAGTCTTGCAATTTTAGTCGTTTGAGTTTCGATATTTCACTTTCGGCATACAATAATATCGGTTTTGGTCTCATAAAGTTTTTGACACCATCGGCGCCTTTCTGATAGTCTTTTGGCAGAAAGTGTACTTTCAACTGAGAATATTTTTTAAAATAGATAGATTTATAACGTTACACCCTTAGTTCCATGACCAAATTTGTCAGTCATTAGACTCATTAAAGTTAAATGACTAATAACGATAAAAGTTAATAGACTAAAGTTGCGAAGGGGCAATTCCCATAATAAGAGTAAAAACATCTTGAAATTTCAAAATAGGAACACTACATTCTCATTCTCTAAATCAGAATCATTACTGTCAAACTTGGAAAATTTTACGCCAAAATGTCCAATAATAATTTCTATTTTAGGACAATTTTTTAATTGCAAATCTCCACAACATCATTCATTTTAGTGCTGGACTCGGCCCGGGCGGCCCGACCCGGAACCGGCCCGGCCCGGCCACTGTAGCAACCGGTCCACCGGCGGTTCGGGTCGAACCGGCCCGGTGGTTCCCGGTTCCGTGCCCGGACCTTCCATATGGTGAACCGGCCCGGCCGGTTCGGGCCCGGTCCGGGCCAGATTTTAATTTTTTTTTTTTGAAAAATTTTTTAAGTCTTGGGTTGGAATAGGTATTTTGGGCCATTTGAGGTGGTTTGGGGTGGTTTGAGGTTGAGGGGGAGGGGTAGGGGATTAAATAGGAGAACCCAAAAAAAAAAAAGTGGACCGGTTTGGCCCGGAACCGGAACCGGCCACCGGCGGTTCGGGCTCGGGCCTCCCCTTTCCTGGCCCGAGGCCCGGCCGGGCCCAGGCCCGAACCGGGCCCGAACCGGCCCGAGTCCAGCACTAATTCATCTTAAAGTAAACTTTTCACTTTGACAAGCGTTTTTACTTCTAGCACTTCTAGTATTAGTTTTTGTACTCCGTAATTTTTAATGATAATCTATTAAATATTATAAAAAATGATAATCTATTAAATATATATATTAACCACCAAGCTCTCAAAATTGAACGTTTATAAAGTCGTAGCTAGTCAAAGTGCTACAACTCAATAACAAGGAAAATATTACCCTACATATTAGAAAAGAATAAAAAATTATAAACGTACATTTTGTCAGTTATTTGGGTGCAGTTAGAAGAACTGGTGTTCTTTCCCTCAAGATTTAGCCAAGTAATAACGTTAAAATACGGGATTATAAAAATAATTAGTCAGTGTATAGAGTATAACATGGCAGAAAAACAGGAAAAAGATGTTGCTTTCACACGGGCAAGGGAGTAGCTATTTTGGTATTTTCTCTCAAATCAAACGAATTGCATGGGCTCCCTAATTTCTGTGTGCTTATATGGAAAGGGGAAAAGTGGTAGTCTGACCCATGAATTGCATGTGCCCTACACCATTTACATGCATACAAAAAAAAATGATCTGTGTCTATTTGGAATGATCGGGGAATTGGATATTAGGGTACCCCACACACACCTTAAGCACCACCCCGGCCCCACTTTAGTTTCATGTGAAGTCACACAGTGGGCCCCTCAGACCCCCACTAGTCTCGTTCTTGCAAGTATGTTGACCGTTTTACCTTGGAAAAATATGTTGCTTACTCAGAATTTGAACTAATATTGAATTTTGCATGATATTTCATATCCAAACTCCAAAGCAAATTTGCAATAAACTTAGAGCCTGTTTGGCAATTCTTTCAATTGATCAACTTTATTATCCACCTTTTCATCAAATACAAAACTTTTGATTTCGAGGTGAATTATTATATAATCAAAATAAGTAAGGTAGAAATTACTTTTCTGACTGAGTTGACTTAAATTAATGTAGATGACACTTTTAACTATTTTTCTTGTATTTTTTCTGTATTTTTTTTAAAATATATTTTAGATATCGTTTTTCATAATTAAGCCAATTCAACAGCTTCTTTCAGAATTTCATCAACTTCAGCAGAATCAGTTGTTTTAACCAGAACTTCATCAATTTTAGTGTTATGCCTTTATTGGTTTGGTTGAGAAAGAACATGACACTTGAATAGATACCTTAATATATTTAGCTATACATTATTATACAAAAAGGGCGGAATTGGCATCAATAATATTTACATTTACATATTTTATAAGAATAATCCCTACTAGAAAAGTTCACAACAGTAATCTCAACTAGTTAACTGTTTGATTAAAATATACCGGAGGTTGACGGTGTCAACTTTCCCGTTTGGCCAAATTGACGCCAATAATCTCTACTGTTACGTATTTTACAAAAATAATCACTCCCAAAAAAGTTCACAATAATAACTCAAACTAATTAATTAAGTGTTTCACAAAAATAAATAAGGAGCTAACAATGTTAACTTTTGAGTTTATTTTTTTTAAATTTTTTAAAGATAATGAAGTAATAGGATTAACAATATTTTATTTGAGTTTAATCTTATTTTTACCAAAAAATTAATTTAGTATTCACTATTTTTCATAAAATTTAAAAGAAGTATAAACAAATTATTTTTTTGTATCAATTTCGCCAAAAGGTAATGAACAATACAACTATACGTACAAGCACAATATATGCCATTTTAAAGCGGGGTGATACTATCATAAAAAAAAGCGGGGTGATACTCCGTACAAAAGATGACTTTCCATTTTTCCAAAGTATTAACAAATTAAATTTTCTTGCCAAAAAAAGTTAAATTTATACTTGTTTTGATACGGAGTATCAAACTAGTAAAGGTAACATTATAGTAAAAATAAGGAAAAATTGATAGTAATAATCCTAACTATTGGCGGTCCGCTTATAATAATTCCAACTAGCGATTGTTTCAGAATATTCCCAACTTTAGGGACCTTTCGTCAATAATGATCCCTATAAATAAATTCTTATAGTTTCTAAAATGAATGAGAAGAGATATAACAAGTAATCCCTATAAATAATCCGAATTTTTAATTTTTGCACTTAATTTCTATTTTAAATTCACTTGTTATAGGATGTAATATCTGGTCATGGACCATTATTGGGGGACGGTCCATATAGTTGGGACTACACAAAAATAATCAATAGTTGAGATTATTATCAGTAACCGACAATAGTTGAGATTATTATTTTCGATTTTTCCTAAAAATAACCGTGGATGGTGATTCGACTTTTTTGTATTCACGGCCTGCGTAAATACGAAAAGTAACCTCCTTTTCACATATTTTAAACATTACTCCGTATAGGAGTAGTATTATACTCCTTATTTTTATCTGGGGAAAAGGTGCAAATAGGCCCATGTACTAACCAAAAAAGGTCAAATAAGCCCTTATTTCGGAGACTTTGCCCGGCCGTCGCCATTTGGAGTCGTTCCCGGTGAAATTTTTTGATGAAATTTTTTGAGCATGTTATTCATCAAGTCTAGTTTGCTCATACCAAATTTCAGCTAAAAATTCAATCGGGAAGGCATTCAAATGAATTCTTGAAAATAACTGCGCTTCTAACTGCGCAGTTATTTTCAAGAATTCATTTGAATGCCTTCCCGATTGCATTTTTAGCTGAAATTTGGTATGAGCAAACTAGACTTGATGAATAAGATGCTCAAAAAATTTCATCAAAAAATTCCACCGGGAACCACCCCAAATGACGACGGCCGGACAGAACTTCCCAAATAAGGGCTTATTTGACCTTTTTTAGTTAGTACATGGACCTATTTGCACCTTTTCCCTTTTTATCTGCGTACCTAAACATTTCACTTTGGAAGATATCCCTTTTCTTCTACTCACTTTTAACTACAACTTTCAAAAGACAGTAAAATTTCCCCATTAACCATGCGTGAATCGAACGTTTTTTATGTGAAACCTTATTTTTAGTGTGAAAACTGAAAACAACATATTTATCCTGCCCCACGAATTTACTGGGTTGGTTTGATGAACTCACACCATCTTTTTACCGCTGCCTTTTACTGCCGATTCTGTTAAAAACCAACGCACTTTAGAGTTTAGAGCACAGTAAATAAACATTGACCTGACTTTTCAAGCGGCCAATTTGGTACGTCCAGTCACAAAATTCTTTACCCACCCCTACCATCGCCATCCTTCCTAAAATTCCTTTCTTTTACAGATGTATGTACTTGTACTATGTACTGTGTACACGCATTCTTCAATTATACGGAGTATATAATTTAATTTAATTTAATTTAAATACATTATTGTACAATTATTACTCGTTTTCTGGTTCTGATTAACAGCCACAATTAGGCAATTACCGATATGGAAAGCACCTTAATTAACTTTAATGGTGTAACCAGCAGCGTAATTAGTACCGCTATTTATTTCTAGCTTTTCGAATTTACCCCTAAATTCTCGATCTGGGAAATCAGTCTCTCCTTCATTTCTCATTTTCTTCTCTTCTCTCAGCCGACTCACCGTATCTTTTCCTCCTGTTCTCCACCGCTTTCTCTCATCTGCTTACGTTTTGTATCTTCTCGTTTTCATCGCTTTCGCTACTGCGGTGGCGGCGAGTTTGATCTTACAACTGGACTCCGGTGTACCGCTGGAGTTTTCGGTGGTACTTCTGAGCGGAGGATTTTGTAATCTATGAAGTTTGGGTGGAGTAGGGTTTGGATGTGATCAAGATTCGAGATAGGATTATCTCTGTGTAAATGCTCGTTGGAGGGGATCTAGGTTTTCTCTCGCGCTTTGTGGTGGCGGCGTTGCTGGTGGTTGCGGGACCAGTGTTGGGTTTTGTGTTTAGATGGAAGTGGCGTCGTGCGGTGGCTAGGAGGGAGGAGGTTGACCAGCTTTTGTATTTTGCCTCCACTGATGCTGCTAGGGCCGAGCTCGAGGCTGCTGCGCAGTACAGCTTTGACTACGGCGGATATAGCTACGGTTCTGTGCTGGAGGGTGATGTTCCAGCTGCCGTTCCCATGCCTTCTCCTGTTCCTGCATATTCATCGTCGACATCTGTGCCAGCTGCACCGCAACTGCAGCACCAATGTGCTAATTGCTTTTCCCCAGCTTCTACGCGGTGCTCACGGTGTAAAGCTGTTCGATACTGGTATGTTGATCTTGTACGCCAGTTTTCTATAACTTCCCGTTTTTATTCACTATATGGTGTCTCCAACCTTGGGAATTGTACTTGTGCAGTTATGCTACAGATTTATTTTTTCTTAAAGGAGTGCCTTTTGTGTGTGAAATGGCCACTAAATAAGGGCAACCGAGCTTTCTCTCCTGACGCCTGGAAGACTTCGATTATTATAACGATTCCCTATCTTTCATATCTAATTTAATAGTTAAGCAGGTTACATATCTGCTTAAAAATGTTTGTATAGCACAACCTTTGAGTTTTTGAAGGTATATACGGAGTATTTTATTATGCCTTGATGTGGGTTAAAATAGATTCTTTTATAATCTCCCTCCCCGCCGCCACACCTATACAGATATTTATTTATACAAGTAAATAAGAAGGTATAAAAAGACAGGTTTATGGCTCATTGTGCATTGTGGCTGTGAGGGGAGGCATAAAAATATAACATTATAGCCACAAATTGTCAATTTAAGAAGCATTCAGATATCGACGCATAATACCATTGGAATACAGAAAATGAACAAGCCGTAAGATCTTTTTTGGTGCATCGGAAAGAACAATTCATATGATTGGTGAGTCATTAACATGAGCTGTTCCCACATGACGCATTGCGGTAACGTACACCTCCAGATTGCTTCAAATCGCACAAGAATTCCCCTAAAATGAAAATTAGGATTCTTACATTCGATGTAATCTAACCGGAGAGTAATCTCCGAGTACTTCACGAGTACTCGCTACTCGGGGTAATCCCTTGCCAAGTAGGTTACCAACTTAGTTCATTCGAAAATTTCGAGTTAATCACCAAGTACTCGGCGATTTTTGTGACTCTGTGACTTGGATTACAAGACGAGTAACTCCGGTGGCTAAAATTGAATTTTTGTAATGGTTAAATCTTAAAGTTTGATACTAAAATGGGATATGTGGGATTTAAGAATACCTATTAGTTACTTTGTTATATTAATTTAAAATATAAAACGAAAAATTTAGACTTTTGGAAGTACCAAGATTATTTCAAAGTTTATTTAAATTACACCATTCTCTCGGTGAGTTCTTCTTCCTTTGGTTCTTGCTTCTAGCTCTTCTTTGTCTTTTCAAACCTTAATTTTTATGTATTACTAGAATTTTGTAGCATATAAATTTATAATTACATATCTGAATATTCACCAAGTAACCGACCCTGATTGCAACTCGGTCCTTGACCGAGTTGGCACCTAGTAGCAGTTTTATATCTTAGCTTCTTTTAAACCTCTATGCAAACCACTGTAGCAAATTGAAAGGGGTGAAAATGTTAAAAGCCACAAGGAAATATAAATTACTTCGATAAAACAAAATTTTGAAACTTTCAAGTGTCAAGAAGAAAACCTTGCAAGGGTTCCATAAGTTTTTCATTCAATACACAGTACATGATCTCCCTAAATAGCTAAGCTCCCTAAGGATATCTTTCAAGAGTTGTGTCTTTTAATTTTCAAATATGGACAGTAAAAAATTATTTGAACCAATAATTTAATTAATCGTTCCCATTAACCACACGTGAAGACAATGTCAATGATCTTGAAGAAGGCCTTTCCTTCAAACTGTTACCAATAGCATGAACCACGACTGAAGATCTTTCTTGACATAATCCACCCAATAGGATATTAAAAACCATCCCAAACGTTCTAAAAACAAAATAAGTTAATTTATAATACTAAAATAGAAACAGATTGTTTGCACATTGAAAAGAAGCTTTGTAGCGATTTCAGCGCACTAGGTGTGCCGGTCATTAGTTTTAAAATTCATTCCCTCACTATTAATTTTACAAACATATACGGGTCAGAGTGGTGCGTGAACATTGAAATTTGTACTGGTCTTCCACTAAGACGTGCACCGTATCCTCGTAATTAAGAACGGCCCATTACTAGACAGCATTATTTCATTATTTGCACCCTCCATGTGTTTCTTCCTTTTTAATTACAAGTTGGGACGATGCAAGCCCAATCTTGAACTAGTGTGCCGATTGGGCTCTCATAAGTCCTGTTTCCGAATTAAAAGAATCATGATGTTCTTTCCTTACACTTTTCACATTTATATACTCACATTTCCTAAAAATGGGCATTGGCATCACATTAGAAATATTTTTTTTTTCGTGTGGAGGATTGATCTCTTTTGATCTTTTTATCATTCTTATGTTCTTTATTTATCCTTTGATCCCTTTTTATATCTTATATCCTCTATCATTTTATATTATCTTTCTATCTTTATTTATGTTTATCTTTATCTTATCTTTTTTTATCTTTTAATTTTCTTATTCTTTTTGTCTTTCTTATTTTTTTGCTCTGATTTCATGTGTCGATTCTAGTTAGTTGACCCCAAACTCTTTTTGGGATTAAGGCTTGGATGTTTGTTGTTGTTGTTGTTGTTGTTGTTGTCTTATTGTGGATTCATTAGCATCTTAAGAACTGTGTTCCAAAGATGTTGCTACACCTTGGTTCTTACTTCATAGTTTTGTTTAAGAACCGTTCTTCCTCTATAGAGTCACGGGCTGGCCCACCTTTATGTGTACCACGATCCTCACCTTTTCTGATTAGAGGGCCTTGTGTAGAGTTCTTAATTGCTGGCTTTGCAGCTTTCTTTTTACGGAGGCCTTTTAATGAAGCTCGGAACTGCAATGAATTTATGAGTGAGAAGAAGATACCTGATGAGAATGGAGAGGAAGAGCCGAAGAGAAGAACATATGTGTTCTCAGTTTGCGAGAAGAAACTCCTAGTGTGAATGGTGAAGAGGAGAATAACATTGAATTCTCCGAGATGTCTGAATTCCGAAGAAGGTTTTCAATCAGGCAGAAATATGTAGGGTTTTGCTTATGGGCGTTTGGGGCTTTAATGAGTGAAAATTGATGTGCCCAACGGGCGCTAAATCTGAAGATAATAATGCCAGATATGAGCCTCAAAACCGACCACATGCATAGTGCTTCAGATTCCAATAAAGCCCTAGGGTGTGCGGGGCTTCCATGCCTCAACCATCAGAGGCATAAACTTCATTGGTTAGCGTGGATGCGTAGCCTTTAGTGTGAATTTCCTCTGCTTCGGATAGAGGCAAGCTGCAAAAAAGCCTTTTTAGTAAATAATTTATATCATGATGTTTGTTCGGTTCAAAAATTCCTATACTTTGGGGTTGTACCAGTTGGTCGTTCGGAATCGTGTATATCAAGGTCTATCTGAGTAAACAGTGGGCATATAATTTTGCTACCTTTTGTGGCACTATGTTCCCAGACTACTCATTTTATACAACCAAACTACTTCATCCCTTGTTGACATTAAATGATTGCTGCCTCGGATAGGGAAGATAAAGCAAAAATTGAAACTTGGTAATGGAAACATTTCAAGATTCATATGGTCAAAATAATACGAATTGCATAGGTATTCCGTTCATTTCAAAATAACTGTGGCTTTGGATAGAATTTTGTTTCGAAGTATCTGTCATTTTTCTTTATTTCATGAGGAATTAAATAGTTTCTTAGTTTTGCTCTTCTTTTAGTTATGTGACAGATCTCATTATTGAAAGGGTAATGTAATTAGTTTATACATATTATTGTACCTATTTAATAAGTTTCTTAATCTGTGAAAAAGTATAACTATAAAGGGCAGATATTTTGAAATGCAGGGAGTACTATACTTTTATATTTGCATATACGCTTCTTAGGTTTTCAACTACTTCTACTTTCTCTTTTGTTTGTCATCAACCGAATCATGTCCAGGTTCTGAAATATCAATTTGCGTAGCTAAATGGTGAAGCTGTGTTTGCAACTTTTGCATTGCACAGTGCACACTTTCAACCTCACTATTACTGTTGTTTCTACTATAATTTTTTTGTGGAATTTCACTGAAAAGCAACTTGAATGATTTGTTTTCATGGAAAACCTTTTAGCTAGCAACTTGCCCAATTGTGTAGTATAATCTCTTCTAATCCTTTGCACTTTTTTAATGGCCTTACCCTTTGTTTATTGTTTTTTTTTTAATTTTCCGGCATTCTCACCCAAAGATGAATGTTTCAGTTCAGGAAAATGTCAAATAATCCACTGGAGACTTGGTCACAAAGATGAATGCCAGCCACCGTCCAACCATAATCATGGTAGTGATGGTGAGGGAACTAATCATTTCAAGGCATTTAAGAAAGAGGAAAATGAAGGTTGTGCTGGAGGAATTGAACCCGAAGAGAAAAACTCTCCCGTATCAATTGATCAATCATTTCCAGAGCATATACACTCTAAATCCAGTATCTCTATGGAATCAAACACAGCGGATGTCTTGAAAGGAAAACATCTCACAGATGACAGATCTACAAACTCAGACCCTGAGTTCTCATCTCATATGTTTTCAACTTCCACCTCTCGTGAATCATTTTCGTCCACATCCATCAGTGATTCAAATGATTCTGGTGGTATTGACAAAGCTGCTGGCATTCGTTCTTTAAACACTGAGACTTCTCAAACCACCTCAGACCATCACAGGCCACAGTTTCTGGAGCAACCCACTGTGGTCAGTTCTATAAATGCTGTCTCAACATCTAGTGAATCTCCTTGCATAAATCTGGGGCCCTATGGAAGTACAAAATCAAATTATTCAAGCTCAAGGGCATCAACTGTTGATGGTTCTAGTAAATCTTCATTATTGGTGTCCTCTGTACCGTCTTCTGACTTTTGGAAAGAAATAGCTCGCTACAGCAGATCTAAAGTCAATGCAATGGAAGACGTTGTTGGTCATCCTGATTCTGAAGATGTTATCGCCTCCAACTTTTTAGATGCTCAGTTACTCCCACTTGGTTCCTCTAAAATGGCTAGAGCTACCACTGCTCTCAGTATGAACGAACCAAATGCAGAAGTCATTGATAATGTGGACATGCGGAGGTCTTCGTCATTGAGACCCAAATCACGTAATACTATGGAGAATGACATGTTGAAAACATCATCAAGCTATAAGGAAACTAGACATTCTCTGTCTGCTGCTTCCTGTGCTTTTCCAGTGAACCATCTAATGCAGAATGATACACTGAAAGCCAATAGTGCCCCAAAAACTTCTCTGAATGTTTCACATGCCCCAAAAGCCAGACAAGTTGAACATGTTCTTGCAAAACCTCCTCAAGTTTATCTATCTTCTACTGCTAATAGGCATGATTATCAAGGCGTAAAGCCTGTAAAGATTGATAGGGCACAAGTCAATTCTTGCGTATCAGGCCCAGGAGGTGATTCACAAAGTTCAAAGATTGGCCTGAAATCATCAATTTTGAAAGTCGTTGACCCATTCAAAGTTTCAAAGTCATCACAGCATAATGCCTTAGGAGCCTGGGGTGAAACAGCAGGAAGATACAATAATAAGGTTTAGCTTCATACTTTGCTTTGTGTTTTCATTTTGTATGCATTTGATATAGTGTTGGAGGATTTTACTGATTGCATAATCTTTGACAGGGCCTATTTCCATATGAGTTGTTTGTGAAGCTTTTTAATTCAAACAATATCGAATTACGTCCATTTGGCCTCACAAATTGTGGTAACAGGTATCTAAAACTTGCCATAAATAATTAATTCTTTGTTAATGATGCTTTATTCAGAATTTATTTGAAGTATTTTTAGGTCATGAACTAGCTTGATCAGGTATCATTTATATGATCCTGTAGACTTGTAGAGCATAAATTTATTTCATGGTTTTGATACGGTATGGGTGTTTCTATCAACCATCGCTTCTTATCTGCTTATGTGCTTCACCTCAGCTGCAAGTCTACAACTCTAAATATTCCGTTTATTATTACTCAAAAGTTTGACATCTGTATTGATGATATGTGGATGTATTTGCATGCTGCTTATATTTATTCCAGATCTTCTCCCATTATGCATGATTTGCTATACACATATGTTGTCTCAATTTCAACTCATTGCCAGTGACCTGCTAGTTACTTCAATGTGTTCATATTTTAACAATCCATAACTTTCTCTTAAGAGTCAGCCTTTCATTTAGTCTATTCAAAGTAGTGACCGGTCATTTCTTATTTAATATCTTGCAGCTGTTATGCGAACGCTGTCCTTCAGTGTTTGGCATTCACTCCACCCTTTACGGCTTATTTCCTTCAAGGATTCCATTCAAAAGGATGTGAGTTTGTAAATATGGAACAACACTTCTGAGTGATTGGTTATGTAATTTCATTCTATCATCTAATCATGCGTCTCATATTCTTGTATCACTTGCTTGTTCTCCCTCATCTTTGTTAGGTGCAATTCGTGCAAAGAAAGAGTGGTGTTTCACATGTGAATTCGAATCTCTAGTTCTGAATGCGAAGGGTGGAAGTTCTCCCCTCTCCCCAAGCCGGATAATTTCCCATTTGGAGAATATCGGAAGCAGTCTTGGGAATGGGAGAGAAGAAGATGCTCATGAATTTCTCAGGTAACCTCTCACTCAGAAAATCTCCACTTTCATTTGCTTATTACCATAAGGATATGTTTGGAGCCCGGAAAGTGTTAGGAAAGGGAAAAGTAACCAAGTAAAATGATTATTTCCTTATTGGTTTTACCTTGAAAAAAGTGAAGGAAATTCAAACTTGATAAGATCTTTTGAATTTTTTACATGTATTTAGATTTCCTAAAAACTTATGTAGTAGAAATTTATAAATTAGATAGATTTCTTACATTGCACCATTTTTTATTTTCACACAGATTTTTTAATAGTTCTAACTTTCAAAAGCGTCCACTATTTCCCTTCTTATTTGTCTTTCCCTAGCTTTTTCCGGATTCTAAACGAACCCTAGCGCTATGTTTGGTTGAGAAGAGAAACTGAGAACTGAGAAAGAAGAATGAAAGTGACCGAGAAGAAATTTCTAAGAAAGGGGTAGCTTTATGTGCTGCATGGTATGCAAGAAATAGAAGGGGATGGAGGGAGAGAAATGTGTAGAAGACAAAAAGTCCGTTAGTTATGTTGCTTGTTAAGTTTATAAGAGGGTGTAAAAGGAAAATGAAAAAATGAAGCTTTCCATATTCCACTATCTTTTCATCTAAGGGGAGAAAAAACAGATGGTGGTCCTGGTCTAGTTTTTTTTTCTATCTTCCCTATTTCTCCTCCAGGGAGAAGTTGAAAAATCCCCTGTTCTTCCCATTTTCTTTTTTACCTATTTCTTGTCTATCAAACATACCATAAATTTTTCTAACACTGGAATCAAATTTTAAATTTTAGGTATGTGATTGAGACCATGCAATCGATCTGCTTAAAGGAAGGTGTCCATGCACCAAGCACTTTGGAAGAGCAGACGAGTCTCATTGGCTTTACCTTTGGGGGCTTCCTCCGTTCGAAGGTAATCAGTGCTCTTCTTGAAGCATGCTGTGATTTTGAGCTATATAACCTAGAAAGGATCCAAGTTTGAACATTTTAATGTGCCCACATTTTCAATTATGGTTATAAACCCATGCTGGTCCCATAAGAGTTTGATCGGACCCACATGGCATTATTTTCACATGTGGTAATATGGGTAAATTAACATGGATTCTGTGACCCTCCCAATAAATCAATATTGCAATTTGCAGATTGAGTGCTTGCGTTGTGGAGGCAAATCTGAGAAACATGAAAGAATGATGGACCTTACGGTGGAGATTGATGGAGATATTGCAACCCTGGAAGGAGCTTTAAAACAATTTACGCACACTGAGGTTCTAGATGGTGAAAACAAGTACCACTGTACCAGGTATTTCCGGATGTCTTCTCAATGTATCTTCTATTGCCTTATATTCATAGAGGCATACATCTTTGTGTATCTTTTCATTGTAATCACTGTTCCATTTGTCTCGAGTTATTGATACACTACTTTGATGCCTGCTTTTACTAGTTGTTTGGTAGCCACTTTTTCCTCATCACATATAACCAAATACTAATATTGTTTGGTGGCGTGCAATGAATTGTTTAATAAATGGAAAATTTAGAGCCATGCATGTGTAATCTTTGGCAGAAGGTATGAAGTTGCTGATCATTAGCCTCACAGTGAAATATGAACCAAATACTAATATTGTTTGGTGGCGTGCAATGAATTGTTTAATATATGGAAAACTTAGAGCCATGCATGTGT